GCGAAAGTAACATCGCTCGAGCGACGCCACCTGTGGAACCGCTATCATATAATAACATTCGCTCAAGCGAAAGTAACATTTGCTCAAGCGCTCAAGCGAAAGTAACGTTTACGCAGGTCAACATTCGCTCAAGCGAAAGTAACATTCGCTCAAGCGAAAGTAACATTCGCTCAAGCGAAAGTAACATTCGCTCAAGCGAAAGTAACATTCGCTCAAGCGAATGTAACATATAATAGCGGTTCCAGTGGAACCGCTATCATATACAACCAGATTTTTTGATTCTGATCGATTAGATTTTTGAAATGATCGATCATATTTGATAATTTTTGCAAATAATTAATTATAATCGATTAGTTTTCTAAATTATTGATTAGAATTGATTAGTTTTTCAAATAACAGATTAGAATTGATTAATTTCTAAATATATACTAAAAAATTATAATTAAAAATATAAATTATTTAAGAATATTAACTATTGTAAAGATAAAGTAGAACATGGGAGGAGATGAGGATGATAATATAATGATAGAACTTACAAAAATGTAGAATTGAGAAGTTTGAAACAAATAAAATTAAGAAAATAGAGATTTAATTACACTTTTAATAAATTTAAGATAATACTAGTTTTGATTTTTATTTTTAAATATTTATTTTAATTATTTAAAATAGAGAAACTATAATATTAGTTTCTAAATACTGAATTTAAAGAATTAAATTTATTATTATTTAATCTTTTAATTTTAGTATTAAAAATTTAAATTATATTTTATTAAATTAAAATAATTACAATATATTTTTCTACTTTGAGAATGAACAATATAATTAAACTCAAAATTGACAATATTATAATACATTTTTGAACTCTTTTGGATTAATTTTTTTTCCTAATTTTTTATAAAGTTAATTTTAATATTTAAAAGTATTTAACATTTTGAATTCTGAAAAGTTTTCTCTAATAGCAAATTTAAAAACATAATATTCAAAAAAATAGTTAATATAAGTTTTCATTATGATATAATAGCGGTTCCACGTTAATCGCTATCTAAAGTATATTTTAGATAGCGGTTAAGGGTTAACCGTTATTAGAAGTGCCCTTTAATAGCGGTTCCAGTGGAACCGCTATCATATACAACCAGATTTTTTATTCTGATCGATTAGATTTTCAAAATGATCGATCATATTTGATAATTTTTTCAAATAATTAATTATAATCGATTAGTTTTCTAAATTATTTATTAGAATTGATTAGTTTTTCAAATAATAGATTAGAATTGATTAATTTCTGAAATATATACTAAAAAATTATAATTAAAAATATAAATTATTTAAGAATATTGACTATTGTAAAGATAAAGTAGAACATGGGAGGAGATGAGGATGATAATATAATGATAGAACTTACAAAAATGTAGAATTGAGAAGTTTGAAACAAATAAAATTAAGAAAATAGATATTTAATTACACTTTTAATAAATTTAAGATAATACTAGTTTTGATTTTTATTTTTAAATATTTATTTTAATTATTTAAAACAGAGAAACTATAATTTTAGTTTCTAACTACTGAATTTAAAGAATTAAATTTATTATTATTTAATCTTTTAATTTTAGTATTAAAAATTTAAATTATATTTTATTAAATTAAAATAATTACAATATATTTTTCTACTTTGAGAATGAACAATATAATTAAACTCAAAATTGACAATATTATAATACATTTTTGAACTCTTTTGGATTATTTTTTTTTCCTAATTTTTGATAAAGTTAATTCCTAATATTTGAAAGTATTTAATTTTCTCTAATAGCAAATTTAAAAACATAATATTCAAAAAATAGTTAATGTAAGTTTTCATTATGATCGATTATAATTAGAAATGATCGATCATAATTGAGAAGATATAATAGCGGTTCCACGTTAACCGCTATCTAAAGTATATTTTAGATAGCGGTTGAGGGTTAACCGCTATTAGAAGTGCCCTTTTAATAGCGGTTCCAATGGAACCGCTATCATATACAACCAGATTTTAAGATTGTGAAGTCTTGGGTTGTATTTCGCTTGAGTGACACTATACTCGCTCGAGCGACATCCGATTCAAACATGAGGTCACCCATGTTACATTATCCGGCTAACTTTGATCGACGGTTAGCAATTCAACATTCGCTCAAGCGAAAATAACATCGCTCGAGCGACGCCACCTGCACAAAATTGGCATTTTCGGGTTGTATTTTGCTTGAGCGACACTATTCTCGCTCGAGCGACGCCACCTACACAAAATTTGCATTCTCGGGTTGTTTTTCGCTTGAGCGACACTGATCTCGCTCGAGCGACATCCACATTTTTTTATTATGATCGATTACATTTTCAAATTATCGATCATATTTGAAAATATATAATAGCGGTTAATATTTAACCGCTATTAGAACTGCTATATAATAGCGGTTAAGATTTAATCGCTATTAGAAGTGATATTATAATAGCGGTTAAGATTTAACCGCTATCATATACTACCACATTTTTCACTTTCGTATCTCGCACCACTTATCCCCAAATAACCCTAACTCTCGCGCCTCACTCACCCATTCCTCTTAACCTTGGCCAGTATCTCCTCCTCACTCCCGGCGAGCCCTAGCCCCCTCACTGCTCCCCCCAAGTCAGCACTCACCCTAATCCAACCTCCACCAAAGCTCCTCGTCAACCGGACGCCACCCTGTGAGTCACCGCGCCACACCTCTGTTCTTAACCTCCTCCGCAGCCCCTGACACCCTCAACCAAGGTTTGGCTTGTTTGAATGTATATATTGTTATTCTCTTGCATTGTGAATAATATAGGAGAGATAATTTTGACAGAATTTCTTTATCGTTTGTTGTAGGTGGATTTGTGAAGTAGATAGGTTCTTCGATCCCTCTTATCATGGATTTGGTGGTGCTTGACAGGACCAATTTGGGAACTTGTTGAGACCGTACGCCCTCAGGTTAACCATTTGTAATTTGTTTTAATTATCTCGTTGGATCTTAGTGAAAAGAAATTTCATAATTATTGGGTTTACTTATACAATTATTTGGTGGTCTCGTATCATACGTACAAGCATAAGTAAGTGGATAAATACCTTGGAAAAAATGTATTAGAAAAACGTAAGTACTGCATCACATGAAGTGAATAATGCAGTTTCACTTATGCTGATTGTTGTAGTTAATTTGCAAGAATAGAAAAACATAAGTAGTGCATCACATAAAGTGTTTAATGCAGCTTCACTTATGCTCGATTGTTGTAGTTAATTTGCAAGAATAGAAAAACATAAGTAAGTGCATCACATAAAGTGAATAATGCAGCTTTCACTTATGCTGATTGTTGTAGTTAATTTGCAAGAATAGAAAAACATAAGTAAGTGCATCACATAAAGTGAATAATGCAGCTTTCACTTATGCTGATTGTTGTAGTTAATTTGCAAGAATAGAAAAACATAAGTAAGTGCATCACATAAAGTGAATAATGCAGTTTCACTTATGCTAATTATAATTCTTTAATATGAAATTTCTTAATAATATCAATCCCACAATATGTTTCAACACAGGTTTATACCAGCAAATAGTCCTCCTACTATAATCTCTAGAATCATCAAACAAAAATTTGATGAACCAAGTCCCACTTGGAGAAAGGTTTCACTTGAGCTTCTTGATAGATGGTTTGGAGAGTTCAAGGTAATTTGAATTATAGTTACATTAAACAATGTCATTTCATTCTTATAAATTAAATGTTTGTTGTGTATTTTATTTATGCAGAAAGAGTATATATGGGATGTGGAACAAGAGCAAGCCATAAGATCTGTTTTTGATAAGAAAGGTTCTCGAATTTTAAAAAACTCAATGAACAAAGTTAGGAATGGTAAGGATACTGGAATCTGGATACCGCCAACTGCTCGAGCATATTAAGACTTTGAATCTTGATTAGTTGTTAAGTTCTTAAGTTTCATTTGTGTTATGTTTGGATGAATTAAGCAGGTACAAATTTTGTAAAATTGGATATACAAAATTTGACTTTAGTTCTTAAGTTTTCATTTGTGTTATGTTTAGATGAATTAAGCAGGTACAAATTTTATGATTTGAATAATTTGACTTTAGTTCTTAAGTTTTCATTTGTGTTATGTTTGGATGAATTAAGCAGGTACAAATTTTATGATTTGAATAATTTGACTTTAGTTCTTAATTTTTCATTTGTGTTATGTTTGGATGAATTAAGCAAGTACAAATTTTGTCAAATTGGATATACAAAATTTTAAACGAAAATTTTCAAATTTGGTTAGATTAGCGACCGAATTTTTGGTCGCTACAAATTTATTATAATATACAATTCAAATTTAGCGACCGATTTAGCGACCGATTTAAATTATTAGTTAAATAATTCAATTAATATATTAGCGATCGATTATATCCGTCGCTATTATTGTTAACTTTGTCTCCAATTTAGCGACCGATTTAGCGACCGATTTTAATTTTTATTTAAATAATTATATTAATATATTAGCGATCGAATATATCGGTCGCTATTTTTTAAACTTTACCACGGATTTAGCGACCGATTTATTATATTAATTTCGGTCGCTATTTTGGTCTTCAATGAATAAGTGACCAAATTATTTAACGACCACTTTAGCGACCACCTCATTGGTCGCTATTTAGCGACCGAAATGTAAATCGGTCGCTCACAAATTAGCGACTTGCCCTTTTGCGACCAACCATTTCGGTCGCTAATTTCGGTCGCTAACAGAATAGCGACCGAATTTTGTCCATTAGCGACCGATTTTTTCGATCACTAATAGCGTTTTTTCTTGTAGTGGTTACTGAAATTCAATATATTCAAAATCTCCTTTTCGAGCTTCATATTAAAAGTAAACAACCACCTTTAATATGGTGTGATAATCAAGGAGTTGTTCTTCTCTTTGCCAATCATGTTATGCATACAAAAACGAAACACTTTGAGTTAGATTTGTGGTTTGTTAGAGAAAGAGTGGCTCGTGGTCAAATTCAAGTTAGACATACTCCAGGAAGATTTCAAGTTTCAAAATCTCTTAAGCAAGTCCCCTAGTTCAACAATATTTTTAGATCATCGAGACAAACTCACTGTAGACAAATACTCCACATTGAGTTTGAATGGGGATAAAAATGATGTTAAGTCATTCTTATATAATCATAAGTACAGTTTGTTAGCTAAGTGTACATAACAGTTATTCTATTAACTTATCTTCTTAGGCGCTTATATATATATATATATATATATATATATATATATATATATATATATATATATATATATATATATATATATATATATATATATACTCTTGTATTTCTTTCTAAGATACAACATACACTACAAGAAAAAACACATTTAGCCACCGAAATTAGCGATCGAATTGTTTTGGTCGCAATTAGCGACCGATTTAATTTTAGTCGTATTTAGAGACCGATTTAGCGACCACTTTAATTCCGTCGCAATTAGTGACCGATTTAGCGACCACTTTAATTCGGTCGCAATTAGCGACCGATTTAGCGACCAAAATATGATTTGGTTTTCACTTTTTTATTTAGCGACTGAAATAGCGACCAATTTTTATGCGTCACAAATTTTCAGTCGCTAAATCGGTGGCTATTTCATACATAAATAAAAAAATCATTTAGCGACTGATTTAGCGACCGAATTAAAATCGGTCGCTAATGAGAAAATAATCCATGATTATATCTGATTTTTGCAATATCGCTCAAGCAAAAATAACATTGCTCGAGCGACGTCACCTGCACAAAATTGGCATTCTCGAGTTGTATTTCGCTTGAGCGACACTATTCTCGCTCGAGAGACATCCGATTCAAACATGAGGCACCCAGGTTACATTATCCGGCTAACTTTGATCGACATTTACGCAGGTCAACATTCGCTCAAGCGAAAGTAACATCGCTCGAGCGACGCCACCTGCACAAAATTGGCATTCTCGGGTTGTATTTCGCTTGAGCGACACTATTCCCGCTCGAGCGACATCCGATTCAAACATGAGGCACCCAGGTTACATTATCCGGCTAACTTTGATCGACGTTTACGCAGGTCAACATTCGCTCAAGCGAAAGTAACATCGCTCGAGCGACGCCACCTGCACAAAATTGGCATTCTCGGGTTGTATTTCGCTTGAGCGACACTATTCTCGCTCGAGCGACATCCGATTCAAACATGAGGCACCCATGTTACATTATCCGGCTAACTTTGATCGACGTTTACGCAGGTCAACATTCGCTCAAGCGAAAGTAACATCGCTCGAGCGATGCCACCTGTGGAACCGCTATCATATAATAACATTCGCTCAAGCGAAAGTAAAATTCGCTCAAGCGCTCAAGCGAAAGTAACGTTTACGCAGGTCAACATTCGCTCAAGCGAAAGTAACATTCGCTCATGCGAAAGTAACATTCGCTCAAGCGAAAGTAACATTCGCTCAACCGAATGTAACATATAATAGCTGCTCCAGTGGAACCGCTATCATATACAACCAGATTTTTTTATTCTGATCGATTAGATTTTCAAAATGATCGATCATATTTGATAATTTTTTCAAATAATTAATTATAATCGATTAGTTTTCTAAATTATTTATTAGAATTGATTAGTTTTCCAAATAATAGATTAGAATTGATTAATTTCTAAATATATACTAAAAAATTATAATTAAAAATATAAATTATTTAAGAATATTGACTATTGTAAAGATAAAGTAGAACATGGGAGGAGATGAGGATGATAATATAATGATAGAACTTACAAAAATGTAGAATTGAGAAGTTTGAAACAAATAAAATTAAGAAAATAGATATTTAATTACACTTTTAATAAATTTAAGATAATACTAGTTTTGATTTTTATTTTTAAATATTTATTTTAATTATTTAAAACAGAGAAACTATAATTTTAGTTTCTAACTACTGAATTTAAAGAATTAAATTTATTATTATTTAATCTTTTAATTTTAGTATTAAAAATTTAAATTATATTTTATTAAATTAAAATAATTACAATATATTTTTCTACTTTGAGAATGAACAATATAATTAAACTCAAAATTGACAATATTATAATACATTTTTGAACTCTTTTGGATTATTTTTTTTCCTAATTTTTGATAAAGTTAATTCCTAATATTTAAAAGTATTTAACATTTTGAATTCTGAAAGGTTTTCTCTAATAGCAAATTTAAAAACATAATATTCAAAAAAATAGTTAATGTAAGTTTTCATTATGATCGATTATAATTAGAAATGATCGATCATAATTGAGAAGATATAATAGTGGTTTCACGTTAACCGTTATCTAAAGTATATTTTAGATAGCGGTTAAGGGTTAACCACTATTAGAAGTGCCCTTTTAATAGCGGTTCCAGTGGAACCGCTATCATATACAACCAGATTTTTTGATTCTGATCGATTAGATTTTCAAAATAATCGATAATATTTGATAATTTTTTCAAATAATTAATTATAATCGATTAGTTTTCTAAATTATTGATTAGAATTGATTAGTTTTTCAAATAATAGATTAGAATTGATTAATTTCTGAAATATATACTAAAAAATTATAATTAAAAATATAAATTATTTAAGAATATTGACTATTGTAAAGATAAAGTAGAACATGGGAGGAGATGAGGATGATAATATAATGATAGAACTTACAAAAATGTAGAATTGAGAAGTTTGAAACAAATAAAATTAAGAAAATAGAGATTTAATTACACTTTTAATAAATTTAAGATAATACTAGTTTTGATTTTTATTTTTAAATATTTATTTTAATTATTTAAAACAGAGAAACTATAATTTTAGTTTCTAACTACTGAATTTAAAGAAATAAATTTATTATTATTTAATCTTTTAATTTTAGTATTAAAAATTTCAATTATATTTTATTAAATTAAAATAATTACAATATATTTTTCTACTTTGAGAATGAACAATATAATTAAACTCAAAATTGACAATATTATAATACATTTTTGAACTCTTTTGGATTATTTTTTTTCCTAATTTTTGATAAAGTTAATTTTAATATTTAAAAGTATTTAACATTTTGAATTCTGAAAGGTTTTCTCTAATAGCAAATTTAAAAACATAATATTCAAAAAAATAGTTAATGTAAGTTTTCATTATGATCGATTATAATTAGAAATGATCGATCATAATTGAGAAGATATAATAGTGGTTTCACGTTAACCGCTATCTAAAGTATATTTTAGATAGCGGTTAAGGGTTAACCGCTATTAGAAGTGCCCTTTTAATAGCGGTTCAAGTGGAACCTCTATCATATACAACCAGATTTTTTGATTCTGATCGATTAGATTTTCAAAATGATCGATCATATTTGATAATTTTTTCAAATAATTAATTATAATCGATTAGTTTTCTAAATTATTGATTAGAATTGATTAGTTTTTCAAATAATAGATTAGAATTGATTAATTTCTGAAATATATACTAAAAAATTATAATTAAAAATATAAATTATTTAAGAATATTGACTATTGTAAAGATAAAGTAGAACATGGGAGGAGATGAGGATGATAATATAATGATAGAACTTACAAAAATGTAGAATTGAGAAGTTTGAAACAAATAAAATTAAGAAAATAGATATTTAATTACACTTTTAATAAATTTAAGATAATACTAGTTTTGATTTTTATTTTTAAATATTTATTTTAATTATTTAAAACAGAGAAACTATAATTTTAGTTTCTAACTACTGAATTTAAAGAATTAAATTTATTATTATTTAATCTTTTAATTTTAGTATTAAAAATTTAAATTATATTTTATTAAATTAAAATAATTACAATATATTTTTCTACTTTGAGAATGAACAATATAATTAAACTCAAAATTGACAATATTATAATACATTTTTGAACTCTTTTGGATTATTTTTTTTCCTAATTTTTGATAAAGTTAATTCCTAATATTTGAAAGTATTTAATTTTCTCTAATAGCAAATTGAAAAACATAATATTCAAAAAAATAGTTAATGTAAGTTTTCATTATGATCGATTATAATTAGAAATGATCGATCATAATTGAGAAGATATAATAGCGGTTCCACGTTAACCGCTATCTAAAGTATATTTTAGATAGCGGTTGAGGGTTAACCGCTATTAGAAGTGCCCTTTTAATAGTGGTTCCAATGGAACCGCTATCATATACAACCAGATTTTAAGATTGTGAAGTCTTGGGTTGTATTTCGCTTGAGCGACACTATACTCGCTCGAGCGACATCCGATTCAAACATGAGGTCACCCATGTTGCATTATCCGGCTAACTTTGATCGACGGTTAACAGGTCAACATTTGCTCAAGCAAAAATAACATCGCTCGAGCGACGCCACCTGCACAAAATTGGCATTCTCGGGTTGTATTTTGCTTGAGCGACACTATTCTCGCTCGAGCGACGCCACCTGCACAAAATTGGCATTCTCGGGTTGTTTTTCGCTTGAGCGACACTGATCTCGCTCGAGCGACATCCACATTTTTTTATTATGATCGATTACATTTTCAAATGATCGATCATATTTGAAAATATATAATAGCGGTTAATATTTAACCGCTATTAGAAGTGTTATATAATAGCGGTTAAGATTTAATCGCTATTAGAAGTGATATTATAATAGCGGTTAAGATTTAACCGCTATCATATACTACCACATTTTTCACTTTCGTATCTCGCACCACTTATCCCCAAATAACCCTAACTCTCGCGCCTCACTCACCCATTCCTCTTAACCTTGGCCAGTATCTCCTCCTCACTCCCGGCGAGCCCTAGCCCCCTCACTGCTCCCCCCAAGTCAGCACTCACCCTAATCCAACCTCCACCAAAGCTCCTCGTCAACCGGACGCCACCCTGTGAGTCACCGCGCCACACCTCTCGTTCTTAACCTCCTCCGCAGCCTCTCGACACCCTCAACCAAGGTTTGGCTTGTTTGAATGTATATATTGTTATTCTCTTGCATTGTGAATAATATAGGAGAGATAATTTTGACAGAATTTCTTTATCGTTTGTTGTAGGTGGATTTGTGAAGTAGATAGGTTCTTCGATCCCTCTTACTGCGGATTTGGTGGTGCTTGACAGACCAATTTGGGAACTT